CACTGCAGCGCTGTCTTCATTTGGTTTGCGGGAAAATGCATGGTGGTGGGTTACAATGCCTTTTATTTTGTCCTAGAACGTTTACACCCCCTGCCTTCTCCAAACTCTTCACCCTTTTGTGAATAACCTTGTCAAAGTTCCCAATGGGTGATGATGCAACAACACTAGAACACCTCCTGAGATGTTTACCAACCTCATGGAGATCCCCATACCATAAGATAAATATCTGTCACATCAGATGATTCTTTTGAACAGTCATTTGGAAGCATACCAGGCAACCTGCATACCAAGCAACATTGGCCATTAAAGTTTTACAGACATTAAAGGGACCTGACCTAGGACAAGCATACAGACAGTGAAGTGTCAGGACATCAGGGAACATATGGATGACATCTCCAGAGTCTACCCATTTAAAAAGTCCAAGACTGCTGCTGGGTGCCGCCATCTTGGATGTAAAGTCAACAGCCCCAGCAGACCTTGAGATGCCACTCAAGTGACACGCTATAGCAGGGGTAGGGAATATTGGCACTCCAGCTGCTGTAGAACTCCAAGTCCCATAAGGCATAGCAAGACACTGTATGCATGTTGGAATTTGTAGTTTCACCACAGCTGGAATGCCGAGGTTGCCTTGCTGGGGTCTATAGCAATCCCTTTTACTCCTTACGTGGCAGGTACAGAAAAGGTTCTGTGGAGAGGTAAGCAGAGGGGCAAAGGAGCTGAGCCAGCACAGAGAGTAATTAGACGCCCCCAAAAGAGGAAAGGGCTATGATGTGCAAGGAAGGGCGAGGTTTTGTTAGGGGATTACTGCTAGGGACTACTCTTCAAGTAGTCACATTTTCTAGCAAGTCAATACAAATTGCACATTGCAAGTCAATACAAATTTATTTACCAAAATTAAAGGAAACAAACGCTGCCAGTAGGCATTTTAAATACTTGATTTTCTGTGCTTTTACCTTCCTGTTTTTAAGTTATTAACAGGCTCTCTTTAAAGGCTAGTTCACACCAGATGCAGTTGTGATGCAGTCCGTTCAGTGTGGCAGCTGCATCAAAATCACGTCACTATGCTTTCCAATGGGATTTCTGGTGCTCTGTTTACACCAGTGCAGTCAGTTCCAATGCAGTTAGAAAAAATCCTGCATGCCACATTTTAGCTGCGCCTGATTGCAATGGAATGCTTTAAACCGCATGCAAATGCACTGGTGCAGTGCGATCGGAACAAATGCTGCATGTACTATTTTTTCCGATCGCACTGCACCAGAACGGAGGGCATTCCTGTACCTCACGTTCCGGTGCAGGCAATTGCATGAATGGCACCGCCATGACCCCTCCCACCCCAGAACGCAGCCCGGCTTGCTCTATGCGATCCAGTGTATTCTGGGCTCGAACCGCACTGGTGTGACAGGGCCCACTGTAAGCTAGCAAAAAAAAAGCCGCAAAATCGTGATAAATTGAGGTACAAATGCGACAAAACGCATTGCACTGCAGCTGCCCAGATGCACGCAGTTCTGATGCAGTTATGGTGTGAAGTAGCCCTCAGACATTTACCCCAGGTTATAAAAGACAACTGGCAATGGACTGGTTGCAATGGATGACACAACACTTTTCCTTTGGTTGCTCTCACAATGCGATGTGTTATGTGCAGTTACCCATAGCAACCTCCAGAGTCAAAGATGTGTTCTAAATAGATTGCTATGGCTGTTCTTTTCTTTATTAGAGTGGTGAATCAAACCTGCAGCAAGTAACCCATGGCAACCAGCTGTCAGAAGGCTTCTAATGGTTGCTATGGGTTATAGATCTCTGCACATTCCTCTTTGCCTATGTCTCTCAACACCTTCTGCCAGCTGCTGCCGTCTTCCCCGTCTCCATGCTTGCTTGTCTCTCATCTACCCCCTCCCTCCATTGCTCTCTGCCTGTCTCTCCCCCCTGGCTGGTTAGAGGCTGCCCTCAGTGTGAGACTGTGCAGTGATACAGTAATTCCCATGCACAGGTGCAGGGTCCCTGACGCAGTGTTCCCCTCAGGCAGGTCCCCCCCGTGCCTTGCCTGACAGACCAGTGGAAGTAATGTCTTGTGGCAGGTAGAGGAATCCAGCAGACCAAGAAGGATATGTTGGGAAGTGTTTTCAGAGAGCACGGCTCAAACACCTGTCTATGCCTCCCCTGTCTTTCATCCCTTCTCCCCAACACACCATGGGGGACTGCGATGAAGACTGATGCCAAAAATGGCTCAATTCTTATACAACCCAAGAAAAAATTGCAAGATCTGCAATATTATATCTTATACTAGTCTTCTTATCACCTCCCCCAAAACCCCCAAAAATCTCTATTGTTATAATGTTATAAGTTAAAAAATGGCTAATTTCACAAATTCTAGCTGTGCCTGCCCATAGGAATGCAAAATAATGATTCTCCCTCCCTTCCTGTGCAGCTGATGCCACTAATGTCTTAATGGGTGGAAGAAAATTCCTTTCCAAAACACATAAATAGCAGTTGGAATATTTCCTTGGACCAAATACAGTCCAATACTAGCTCTTAGTACTGGTAAAGTGAAAGGAGCCATCTAATTCAGTGGTTCTCAACCTGTGTAACCTCAGGACCCACATTGTCCTTGGTCGTTAAGTTGCGACCCAAGTCACAGGGCATTGCAATACTGTGTGTTCCAGTGCAGGCGATCGAACTGTGAGTGGAGGTGCGTTTGGGTTGACATGAATAGCAATACAACACACCTCCCCCCCAGAATGCACGGTAGGTGCGATTGCGTGTTACAGTGCATTAATCGCATGGGGCTGTGTGGTTAACACACTGTACTAGTGTGAACACTGACAGTCACACACAACCACAGACACATTCTCTCACACACACACACTCCAAAAACAATTCTAATATTTTGAAGATCCCCCCAGTCTCCCTATCTTACCAGTGGATCCTCAGCCTGGGGTCCAGTGTGGGCTGCTGTGTTGCGATGGAGCGCCATCCATATGTGCATTGCTTGTACAGCTCCCTTGCATGCCCTGTAGAGGTGTCGGGAGCCAGAATGTGACGTCACTCCGGTCCAGGCATCTCTACAGGACACATGAGGGAGCTGCAAGCAATGTATGTATGGATGGAGCTCCCTCGCAGCAAAAGCCCCATCCCACCCCATCTCAAGCTGACACTCGGCACCTGGCAGCATATTTTGAATGGCTGCTTGGCATGAGAACTGACAGTGCTGCGCTAGGGGGAGGCTGAGGAGCCTCTCACCCAGAAGAGTGGAAGGCATGCGGTGACCCACTGAACACGGGGTCGCGACCCACTTTTGGGTCACGACCCACTAGTTGAGGACCAAGGATCTTATTGATTTAAAAGGGAAGTTGTTAAGTTGAAAAAAGACCCATCGGGCTCAACCAACAGGAGGAAAAATAAATAGAAAACCTCCACAAACAGAACCCTATGCTACCGGTTACCCAGAGTTGATCCAGAGGAAAGTATGTCTGTGAAGGTTCTCATTTATCCAGGTCATGGTATATCTGCAAAAAAATAAGTCAAGGCAACTGCACTTGCTGTATTTTTCTTGATGACCAGTGAAACATCCTCAAGAAAAATACAGCAAGTCCAGTTGCCTTGACTTATTTTTTACAGACAGAGGAAAGTATGGTTGGCTTTGGGGTTGTCATTTTCACTGTTGCTTTACTGCTTGGTGAGTCACTGACCCACAATGAGTAGAAAAAGCCTCAAGAATCAGAACTTCTGACCAGCTTAATCGTTCGGGTCGGCAAAGTAAGCCTCCATATTTCCATCCCAAAAGGTTCCCTTTCAAGTAACTGTGTTTTTGATCTAAAAATTTAAAAAAAACTCAAAAGAAGAGAGCTAAAACTCATAAATCCCACCACCCGTTCCTCAGAGCAGAATCTTCACATCTGACACTTGGACATGTCTAAGGTTTGCAACCCTTGTCGTGCTCTGTGATTCCATTTCCTGACTGTGGCTACCCTCATATAGTACATTTTCTGTAATGCCTGCCTCAATTACAAACTAAGCATATTTTCACATAAAAGGTGCCATGAAGTGCCAGGACATCATTTTAATTTGTCACCTGCCTTTTCCCGCGCATTGCCAAAGCCCATGTTAAACTGGAAAATCTGGGTAAGAGAATTCGCACATGCTCTGAGCAACTTGTACCAAGCCTAAGGCTAGGTTCACACCTAGGCGATTTTCCGCACGGATTTAGCCGCGCAATATCGCACAAAACACAGATTTTCATTCAAGTCTATGGAAGCTGTTCACACCTTTGCGATTTGTCGCGCGGTAGAAAACGCCTGTCGCACAAAAAGGTACAGGAGCAATTTTCGGGCGGATGTCGTGCGATTTGGGTCCCATAGACATCTCTATGCTTTGAAAACCGTGCGACAACCGTGGGGTTTTCAAAGCAAAATCGTGCGAACAGAAACGTGACTACCGCACGAAAACAGTTCACCAGCTCAGTCGCTCAGGTGTGAGACTAGCCTAATATTGCCACAAGGGACCAGGTGTGTGCCTAGTCCTCTGCAAATACTGACTTTCAAAAAGTCACTTTTTTCATTAGAAATTCAGGGATTTGGCAGCACAGGAGGGGAAGCAAGGTGGAACACTAAAGGTATACTGTGGCACCCAATGGTGGCCTCTGTGATAGATAGATAGATAGATAGATAGATAGATAGATAGATAGATAGATAGATAGATAGATAGATAGATAGATAGATGTGGAACCTAATTTTGTTTATATTTCATGTTGGGATGTTCCATGATCCTTCCTCTAAGCCAATACTGTGATGAATCTGGTTTTTATAGGTGATTGTAAATAACTTTGTTTTGTGCAGTATTTTTCAGTTTTCATTAGATGTTTTGCACCAGTATAAGTAGAGAAGGATGGTTGCTATGGCAGTGGCTCCAGTTTGCTATAAGGCAGATACATTTGCAGCTAGGTAGAGAGACCACTTGACATGTTATGGCACAAAGGTTCTTACCCGTGTATTTTCTTGCTACAGGTTGGTTAGCGCTGTCTGAATGACATAACCCTGTGTAGACTTGGGCATAGCAACCTTTGTTTTCATAAAGCACCCGGCTGTCGGATCAAACTACGAGCCATGTCTAAAGATGAAGAAGTTGGCTGCAAGTTAAATTCCACCTGTAAACATAAAGAGCGAAAACCCAAAAAGCCTCATTATATCCCTCGACCATGGGGAAAGCCATACAACTACAAATGCTTCCAGTGCCCCTTCACCTGCATGGAGAAGTCACACCTCTACAACCACATGAAATACAGTCTGTGCAAGAACTCATTGTCCCTTCTAATAGAATCCGACTGGCCCTACAAGAAGAACAACTTTCTTGTCCCAGAAGTCACCCTGAATCATGAAGCACATACAGAGGGCAACCGAGATATACAAGAAGCTTGTGATTCTTCTGCATCATCTACACAATTGAGACATGTTGCAAAGAAATCTTCCTCTGAGGTTCAGAGGTTCATGGAAGAAGAGGATGAAAGGCTGGAAGATGAAGAGAATGAAGTAGCGGGTCAAGCTCAAAAGGAAAAAGGAAAGAACTCTCCTCCTCTACAGGTCATTGCTGGCAAGAATGAAGCCAATGTTAGCGATGCAACAGGTTTGAAGAACAAGAGGGAGATGTTAGGTAAAGAAGGTGAGCCAGAGTTTATTATCACTGATGTCTTTTCTTTAGAAGGGCACTGTGAAAAGGACAGAGAAGAACAGAGATTTGCAAAGGTCCCCAGAAAGACATCCAACAACTTAGGAAACTCTCGGCTTGACCAGTGGAAACTATTGACCAACACACTTAAGAAAAGTGTAATTGACACACCAGTAGGGTGCAGTGGAACTAATATTATTCCATGCTACCCCCCTCCAACATATACTGATTATCAGGAACACCAGGGTCTCTCACTTCTGGGCCTCAACTACCCAAAAAGCGGCAACCTCTTCTCCTACCTGAACCCCACCATGACAAGTGGCACTGCTCAGTTACCCTTCTTGGCCTCTACAGCTCAGCTAATGCATCCAGCACATTTCTCCCATTTTCAAGCTTTACAAAATACCGAACGTTCTTCATTTATTCCCCAGTTCTACTACCCTTTGCTTTTCGACCATACATTCAGCACATCCGACACCAAGATTACAGGAAAACCAATGAACCAAGGTCAACCAGGAAACATGGCATTCACCACCAATGCAAAGGCAAAGGCCCCTGTGGAACCTCAGAAGATCTGTCTACTCAAACCCCAAGAAGCTAATAGCCAACATGCCTGGGGGACAGGGGATAAGCAGCAAAACCCAACAGTGGCCCACAACAAGCCAACACAAGAAGGAGAGCCAAAATGGGTCCCCAATGCAGTAAGGGAAATCATCCAACAACAGAAAGAGATTTTGGGTGTTTATGGGTTGCAAGCCTCCAGAATAAATGAAAACTCCACACATAAAGAGACAACTGAGGAATCTCTATGGGAAAAAGCAAGCCCTACAAGATGTGTCAAGAGGAAGACATGGCTGGACAGAGATAAGCCAGAAATTATAACTGACCAGACCACATCTTCACTAGAAGGAGACAGAACCTTCCATAAGAGGTAATATTTAGACTCTGAGAAAAACATTAGTTTATTTAGTAGATAATTCTATAATGGTAAAAAAAATACAAATAATTAATGTAAATATCCAACATCAATGGTAGAAGATAATGAATCACGCAAATTTTATTTTAAAGTGACACTAAAAAGTGAAACTAAGCTCAGGAGTTTCGTGTCTACTTGTGTTCCTCATGGTCCCTGTGTGTTGTAAAGTAGTCACCGCTCCAAGCTCGCTCCTGTGATGGACTACAATCTCAATACAAATTAGTAAACTAAACATGAGATTGTAGTCCATCACAGGAGCGAGCTTGGAGCGGTGCCTACTTTACAAAACAGATAGTCCATGGTCCCATCGCACTCCTGACCGCGTAAATCCCTTCAGAAAATGGGTGCTGCGGTAGTCAACGGGTGGCAGCCGTAACAATCATGAGCAGAAGCAGAGACACCGGCACTCCAGCTTTGCAAAATACATCTATTTATTGACGTGCATCATGGTAGCAAAGTTTGCTACCATGATGCACGTCAATAAATAGACGTATTTTTCAAAGCTGGAGTGCCGGTGTCTCTGCTTCTACTTTACAACACACACACAGGGACCATGGGGAACCTCTAGAAGGAAGAACATTGTCAGCACCAATTCAGAGATGATTTGAGGATCTACAGCCGAGTGATACACAAATAAGATAAATTTTTGGTAGAAGTTAAGGTTTTTGAATCCATTTTTAAGATTTAACTCCTGAGTTTAGTGTCACATTAAATATAAGGTGCAATAGGATCAAACAAGTTCCAAAATGTTCTATGGCCCAATCACCTCGATACTCAGTGGTGCTCATAAAATTCTCAATACTTTAGACCAGCCTTTTTGCTAAATAAAACACTTATGGGCTTCTTTGATTTTTTTGGAGCATACTGCTCCTTTTTTTTACTTAAGCATATCAAACTTTTAAAAACTACAATGCATTGATAAGCTTTCTTGAAGCCATTGAAGCACCCTTCAGTTGCATTTTAGGTCTTCAGAATTTATATTGTAGTCTTTACTATTTAGAAATGGCTATTTTATGCAGTATGTATGTTTGCCCTTATTTTTGTATAGTATTATAGTCAGGGACACATATATAGTAATGGACACAATGTTTGAGTGACCACACATACATGCAGTTGGTTTTTGTACACTTAGGTGCAAATAGTGCTTAACACAGTTCATCTATTCTAGCGCCTGGCCACATTTTTTTTATTTACTGCTGTATTTGGTTAGTATCTAAGAGAACAATGTAGGCTTCTGCAAGAATAAGCCGAACCAAATTAGGGGGAAGATATAAATCTGCACATGTACTGTAAAATTACAATAATTTAAGAATTAATATTCAGACTTCAGTTGTGACTGTTTTGTGTAATTATCAATGGATAAGTGTAAAAGATTGTATTTGCTAGAGATCGTCTTAATTTCTTTTAACCTATTAACAAGGATGCTTTCAGAGTTCAACATAACGCTTTCTTTAAGTTAAGGCAACACTGATAATTATATGCAAATTACACTAACCTATTGCAACTAAACAAAATGTATGTTTTTGTTACCAGACTACAATAAGCTGAAGTCTGATTGGTTACTCTGGGATACTGCATTTTGCACATAAATATTGCCCTTTGCTCTCCCTTGACGAAATGCAAATACAATGTTTAGACACTTTGTAAAGTAAACCTTTCATGTCCTATAAGTGCTTTTATTAAAGTACAGAGGGGCAATATAAAACAATGTTCTGTATATACATTGCACTGGACAATATTAAGACCTTTTTTTAGGTTAATAATATTTTAAATTATAAGACTTCCTCTTTTTTCCTTTCTTTGTTAGCTCTTGTTCTCCCATAACCTCTCCTGATCAATGGAGGGAGAAAAGCCCAGTGAATGAGGTGGCCAGTAAGAAGAGAAGAGGATCCGAGCCAACTCCAGAAAATTCAGACCCTATGGCGTTCAATGCGTCTCTGCTCATTGGAGACCTCTCCAGAACCCTTGAAGAATATGGGAGGGTGGAACGGAAGCTGGCCAATCTGGCATCTGACGACAGCGGGCGACAGAAAACTCTGTCAGAACACCTTGGCAAGATAAGACTGGAGCTGCTGCACATCCACCACGCTCTGGAGAAGGCATCCTGTACACACGAAGGACCACTAGACCTTTCAGTCAAAAGGGCTGAAGATGTGATCAAGGAAGATCCAGAAAAGGTCCAACCACGTGTGGATCCACTAATAATCCCTCCTCCTGTGTCCTCTCCTAAACAAGTAGTGAAAGTAGAACTTTTGCCCCCAGAGCTGGTGACATGTTATGTACGTCCCACCAAGTGTGAGGCTGATTCCAGTGTGCTGGTCTGCCCAGATGGCAGAATTGGTAGCACTGGGGCTGCACCAGCACAGGGACGTATACAAATGGAGAATGTTTAGAGCCTCAGAACTACCAATCTTGACATTTCAACCACTGCCACCAGTTTAAAGAAATACTCCAGTTAGTGAACAATGTCAGTAAACCGACTTGAGACTACATTACATGCACTTGATATTTCTTTTTCTAATGAGTTCCAGAAATACAGAAACTGGAGAATAAAGGGAAATTCTCAGCATCTGAGTGGGTATACAATCAACAGCATTGTGGGCTGTCCACTGCTGTAACAGATAATGTTGGGGCTATTATGCCAGACTGTCCAAAATAACAGTTATCTGTACTACCCTAGAGTAGCCAGTTGGGTTCCATTTGATCCTTTTTATTGAGGTTTTGAATTTGATTGGGGGAACTGCTACAGTTTTTATTTTAAAAATCCTAATAAGGACCATGGTGCATAAAGGCTAGATGTATCAACAACACAGAGGGAAACTGTGGTGACAGACCTTTGGGGTTGACCCAAAATATCCCCAAAAAAGCAGACACGGTAACTGTGAGCAAATTTGTTGCGTACTTGTTTATTTTGTCCAACGTTTTGTTTGAATATATCTTCTTTGTTCCTAACCTAATTTCAAGAGAACTCAATGCTCCTATACTGGAGGGGTACATTCCCATGTGATACCGCTTTGCTTGTGTTCCAGCATTAACCACCACATGCAGAAGACTCAAGAGGACAACTAAACAAACAAAACCTACAGCACCGCTACAAAACTACCGGCATGATGGCCAGTTAGCTCACCGTGTCACAGTTGTAGCTTGCTCAGAAAAGCACACTGCTTTCATGTGTAAGGGGTGCTTCCAAATAAATCTAAATTTACAGTATTTACTTTTTTAATTATGTATATAGTACTGGAAGCATTTTACAGTATGACTGTCATCATGCTCTTTGCAACAAAGGTGCAGTATGGCAGAAAAGCAGGTTCGTTAAAACACATTTGATATGAGGCTATGATAGTTGGGATTACCCTGAAAGAGAGCTGTACCTAGTTACAGCTCGGAGGGCAGCATGATTCCTGAGAGCAAAACCAGTGTCTGTGACTTCTTGACTGCAGAGAAAAGAATACATACAGTACCAACCACAGAGGCAATGGTGAAACTGATATTTGTAAAGGGTTAAAGCCCAATTGAAGTCTTGCACTTTTTTTTCTTTATAGTCCTGTAGTGCGGTTTTAGGAATTTTAACTAATTTTCTCTTGGAAAATCTTTGCCATTTTAATTTATTAATTAATTTATGGAAAATGTTCTTCCTACATTTCCACTTGAGTGCTCTGTGCGGGCAGAGCTGAGTAACAGCCACACCCCTCAGCACACTGTCCTCACACAGACAGGGGGATGTGCCTGACCAGGTTAGTTAGGGTGCACTGGACAGCATAGTCAAACTCTATGCCTATGGAATTGACAGTCACATTTACACACACCTTGCAATTGCTATAACGAGACAGCGGTGATAAGAATATACCAATCAGGGTTGTTGGTTTAATGTCTATCCTGATAATTATCTATTTACCGTGTTTCCTCGAAAATAAGAATTATCCCCGAAAAAAAGACCTAGTACTCATTTTGAGAATTGCTAAAATATAAGACCTACCCCGAAAATAAGACCTAGTTGTGACCATTACCAGGGCCGGTGGTGTCCTAAGGGGGAACTTGAAGAGCCGCAGGAGAGGCGGGAGAGAATCAGCAGTGCCAACGAAGCCAGCGATAGAGGAAGTGAGGCGGCAGCGGAGGGAGCAGAGCCGCACAAGCCGATGCCTCCTCTATAGCGCCGTCTCCTGTCACAGGCGGAGTGTTACCAAAAGCATTCCACCTGTGAAGAATCGATAGTCAAAGCGCGCTTCGCCCATTCTGGTTTCCAAATTGCTCTTGGAAAGGTACGGCACCCCTGATTACCATGATCACCCTATTCTTAACTCTGCCATTTTGGATTAATTAATTTGGATTGGCCTTAACTTTGGATTGTTGTACATTAAAAATAAAAAGACCTACCCCAAAAATAAGACCTAGTGCGTTTTTTTGAGCCAAAAAAAATATAAGACAATATCTTATTTTTGGGAAAACACGGTATGTGACTTCATTTGGGTTTTAAATGCCTTAGAAGGGTCAAGGGCTATTACCAAAACAGCACATGTGCTCCAATGCCAAGGGTGGCAGTTAGGCGATGGGGGTTTGGCAGCAGAAAGCCTCCAAATGTAAAAACTGTACTAATTTGTCTTCATTTTGTTTTCCTCTTCTGTCCACTTTCGGATATTTGTGGCTAAAAGAACTGTAGACTGAAGGGGGTGCAGGGGATGTTTAAAGGAGTTCGATGACTCTTTATATTTCAGGAAACATGAAACCATCTCTGCTTTCCTATGTTTGTTGGTCTGCACAGTTAAAATGTAATCCTAAATATAAAGCAGACCGCATGAAGCCTCCAATAACGTAGTCACTGTTACTAAAATCGCATAAACAAGAGGGAGATTTACACATGGGCATCATCCTTCTGGTGTTCCTAGAACAGCATGCTGTGTAAAATGCAGTAAGGAAGCCAAGGCGGGATGTAATGACTCGCCACCTGGCTTCCTGATTAGCCGGGAAACCGTCCCCATGCTTCCACTTCACCAAGTGAAAAGGAAGCATGGAGCCAGCTTCTCGACCAATCAGGAAGCCAGGAGGCGAGTCATTACACGGCACCCGGCTTCCTAATTGGCTGGGAAGCTGGCTCCATGCTCCCTCATCACCAGGTGACGAGGGAGCATGAAGCCGGCTTCCTGGTCAATCAGGAAGCTGGGGGGCAGGTAATGACTCGCCATCCGACTTCCTCAATGGCCATCTTCCCGACCAATCAGGAAGTTGGGCAGCTAGTCATTACACTCTGGCTATCCCCTGGCTCATTTCCTGGCTATCCCCATTTCCAAGAAGTCTTCCAAATGAGGCATACTTGTTGTTAGTGGACCAATGATATATTACCTGGTTTCACTCAATCAATCAGGTTTTTGGCAATGAACCCAAGATCCCAAGGGTGGGTTGTCTGTTTATTGTAATATAAATATGAGATGGAATGTGTGAAATATGCTGTTAATGAGATATTTAAGTTTTATGAAAAACTATGTCAATGAAAAGAACCTCTGATATGAAACTGATATGGAAGTAGCTGTCTGTGTGTTTTAAGTGGATAGAAGGTGTTAGATATCTTATAGATTAAACACAATTACATTGCACTGACCGGGATGCAGACTCAATTATTAATATAAGACCACACAACCATAACAAGATCTAAGGTAGTGATCTTAAGCTGGCTAAATCACATAGATTTGTAGATGCCCAAATACCTTTTTTTGATTAACAAGTCCACTGAAGTGTTAAAGTAAACAAAATTGAATCCAGTAAAATGGAGATACATAAATCCGTTACTCAACCAATACATGTGCAAGTAGCTAACCAACTACAATGAACTTTTTCCATGTCTTTATTGGGTGGAAATACCCACCTCTCAACTTCCTGCACACATAATGGATATATCACTGATTGGTAGTTGCTAAGGAATTAAACCACTGGTCAATTTCTTATATCTTTGAAGGGCTCTTATAGTAAGATCCCCACGCGGGGAGCCTGGGTGTGCACACATTATGATGACCTCCAACTGCCCCTGTTGGATTTTCATTTTAACAAGGACTGGAGCTCACTAAGGCTTGGTGGAACCCAAAAACCTTTCAGGTGAATGGAAAAAGAACCAGGAATTAGATTAGAGAACCCAAGACATGTACGAAGCCTTCAGCCTACCTGACTCGGCCTATTATTAAAATATTGCTTTTGGGTAAGTTAACTCTTTAATACACAGAGACTAGCCTGTAGCACCAGATTTTGATCTCCATGTTCCAAGGTGTCATGAGCTGTAAGCTGAGTACTGTGGAAGATACAAGAAATCAACACTCCAGTAAGTGTCTGTTTTTTAGGAGACTTCAGTGGATGATTTCCCTTTACAGGAGTAGCATTTGGCAGGCAGTGGGAGAGGTATTTATGGTTTCCTTCACAAGGACAGCTTTTTATTTCAACTCTGAGTTTAGTCTTGTTTAGGCTAAATATTAACTAAATAGAACAACAGGCTGCACAGCATCATGCCATAAATGTGAAATATATCATTTATACGACCTAATGGACCAAAAGCTCTGTGCTCGCCACAACAATCAATATGATTTATCCTTTAATTTGTGTACTGACACTGGAACCATTAATGGTAGATCTGATTGCTGATTATAGCAGAGAGGGCTGGGAAGGGGAATGGCCATTTTAATAAATAGAAAGCCAACATTAAGAGGCTGAGAGAGCCTCCTGCTTTGCATACACAGTCAATACAGCAATGAATTGTTCCATAGCTCTTGATGGGACAAGCCCATGTGAACAATGTACAGAGGACACTATAGTCAGATGCCCAGCCAAAACCTTTTTTTAAGGAACCGATAGAGTAGAAAAGGTCTAGATTCTCTGTTTGGTTTAATTAAGGTTTAAGGCTTAGTTCCCATTGGGGAGCTTTGGCAGATTTCGTATCACTTCCTGCGTGGTCACCAGCAAAGGTAGAGAAGAAAATCACCCCAACAGGAAACAGACAGCAATCAAAACACATCACAGAGGTTTTATCCCTTCCTGAATATAATCAAAACTAAGATATGGGACAACAGTGGTTCATACCTGCATAATGTGTGCTATAGTCTCCATCAGAAGCACATGTGACAGGCTGACAATGCAGGAGCACAACTGGGAGACAAGGACAGAGCGTTGTCACCCTATAACTGGAAGTGCCTAAACAAGAGCCTTCATGGCAGGATCACTGGGTATTATGTTAATGAAAGCTGCAGATGGAAAATTACTTTTAAAGTTAAATCTTATGTGAGATTTTAGTGATCACATACTTTAAGTAAGCTGCACTGGAGCATATCCAGTTGGGTATAGAGCAATGTACAAAGTGTGGAAACCTATAGATTCAGAACTCACATTCATTGCTTTGAGATCTAATTGGCTGCTAAGGGTTACTGCTGTTTTGTAAAATAAGCCTGAATGACTTTAAGGACTCATTAGGAAATACTGCGCCACGTAAAGCCTATATTTTGCTTTTAATCCTGTTTTTTGTTCAGTACGGAGCCCAGTTCTTCTTTTTCGGGCTGTTCTGACCCTGTTTGAGATCACAATGGTATCTTGAGAGATCCTGCCTGCCAGGAGGATGTGTGCTTGGAGCTGAAGCCATGGCAGAGCCTCGCACCAGCGGGCACCGCTGCCAGCCCATGCAGATGAGTAAATAAGTAAGCCAGCAGAGTTCACATAACCCTGGGGACAGCCACAGGACACTGTCACCGCCGATCAGCGTCACTGTCACTGGACCTCACTGCTGCCCCATTAACCACAGCTCCGGGCTCATGTAATTGGCTCAGACTGAGGGTTACCCTTAAACACGAGAGCGTGGCTACCATCACTCATTTGCAGCAGGTCCCAGACTCTTAACCCTTCGCCTACTGCTGGTCTGCAATCACACTTCACTGTCATTCTTCTAATAAATACCATCACACACAGTGCATCTGAACTCGAGAACAAAAATGTAATCTATTGCAGCTTACCAGTCCTTAGATGTGGTGGCTGTATTAGTTTTCTTTTCAGGCTTCTTTTTTCTTTATTGCCAACTGGTAATCCTGCCAGTAACACACTTCCTGTCCTAGGGTGACAACGCTTACTCTCCATTTTGTATCTATAGAGGAGCAGCATTGTCAGCTTAGGACATGACTACAGAACACCATCCCCTCTCCCCTCCTCTTCTCTTCTAGTCTACAGATGGCTGGGAACCACACTAACTGATAAGACTGCAGGACAGGCAGAGACCACAAGAAGTATTCAGCTCATAAGATTTCTGGCAGGATCAAGAGATATGTTTTTGCACTTACCGAACAGATATCACAAGATATCTCAATAGTAAATTTAAAGCAGATCTTTACAATCAAAAATCAAATTCTACCAATGCATCCGTCTATGTATGACGATTAATAATAACATATACATGTCGGGTGTAAAATGCTGTGATTGTGAAATACTTAGACTTGCAGAGCATTTACTTCCTGCTTTGAAATGGCAAATTAAAGGAGGACTATGAGGTGAGTGATTTCCACTCATCTCATAGTTCTAGCCGACCTGTGACAATGAGACTGTCACAGGTCGGCTCAGTAGATAGGGAGGTGAGCGAACACATACCGGGTTTGCTCACCTCTCGATCCTGTCACGGCTCTCTGCCGTGACAGGGGGAGGGGCTGGATTCCCCTCTCCCTGCTCCGATCCGCCAGCGCTGAGGAGAACTATGGGGAAAAGCCCTGACCCCATAGACCCCATCCGATCCGCCAGCGTTACCCTAAGGAGAACTATGGGGAAAAGCCCTGACCCCATAGTTCTCCTTTAATTCAGTTTGCCAAAGCAATGCACACTGGGATTGCATTGTCATCAGCTGAGCATTGCTGGGAAATCTCATCTGTAATCTCAGGAGAACTCAGGGAAAGGCATTTTCCTCCCCTGAGATGATGTACATGGTCACATGTGTGAGAAATCCAGGAAGTAAATGGAGATCTAGTAATCTGCCCTTAGTAAACATGGCCACTGTCAGAAGACTGGTGAAGAAAATAAAAATCAGGTATGCAAAGAATACATAGCCGGCAATTAACTAGAAGTATGTGTTTGTAGGTTGTCATTACTAAACATTTCTAAAGGTGTGTTTGTTGTTATTGTAAAGATAGGTAAAGGTCCGCTTTAAGATGTTCAATGTTAGGGTGAACATAACCTTTTGTTTTGTTTTTTCATCTGTGTCCTGGGGAGATTTCCCTGCACTTCCTGTCCTAAGAGAAACAACACAAGGGAGAGGAAGTTTCTCCAAAATGAGGAGACATTTTCTTGTCACTGGATTGGTGTCATTGTTTAAAGATTTCCTCTCTATTCCTGTTCCAGTTACAAATCTAAAATCCTTCATATCCCATCACTTTCTGTCCCGGTGATAATAGTCACCAAAATGTATATAGAGGGTGAATCTACCTACTGGAAACACAGACATCAATAATACAGTAAATAGTGATTCTAGCTCCCTTCTTTACTTTATATAAAAACAAAATAGGAAAATAAGGTTTTTCTGGTAGACATAACTGTTTTAGACCTAATCTGCGCAAACTATTGGCGCTATATAAATCCTGTATATTAATAATAATCTACGAACAGTTGGATCATGTATGTTACACTGCTGACTTCTGAGGCCGACAGATATGCTTCGGGTTGGTGAATGATCAGGGTGGTTGATGGGTACCAGATTTTAGAGTCGCAGTGCAGTATCTGTTTTTACCAGCAGATGGCGCTGCAGACATAATCTGGAATTGCAGATTTAGGTACAGTAAAGTCCAGGACCTAAAGGAGCAAAGAGTGGTACCCATATACAGAAAAAGTTCATCTAAAGCCAAAACCTTTTTTTTAGTATTGGATGGTGTTGGAGTGTTAGAACTGATTTTAGGTTTTTTATTTGCCGTCTGTGTACCTGTCATGAAGATTCACCCTCTCTATTTATGTGGGGATGTTACATGATTCTGTTTCATGGGCATTCCTCAATGAAAACTATGACTTGTGATTCTCAGAACCAGTGAACATTTGGCCTGAAGTCTCCTGGGCTTCACATCTCACAGCCATTCAGAAATAGAAGGTACTGAGCAAACAGAGCAGCACCAGCCAGATTCCAGGATGGAAATTAAAGCCACTTAGCAGGTAGACTAGGGACTGGGAGCGTGTATGAAGGAAATTGTAAAATATTGATATTTCATTAGACTGCATTGTTTTCTGTGATAATCCTAATATGGAGATGGGGCCTATATCAGAACAATAGGTTTCTTGCTAACCTCCATGTATATAATAGCTACATGGAGTTTTCTTTAATAAATCTAATCACTGGATTTTATTTGAAAAAAAAAAAAGAAAACCTAAAAGCCTTGTTTACTTACCTGGAATCACAGTCATATGGGGGGCCAAATCCCACATCTTCTTTCTCTGGTCTGTAGTGTAGAAGAGTCCTTCCTGCAGTCTTCATATTTCTCTCTGTTTCATGTGGTTGTCATCAGAATCCTTTAGAGAGGTTCTTAAAGGGGCCTAAGGACATCAAGCGGCAACATCATGACATCATGATGCAAGGGGCAGCAACAAGACTGGTTAGTAGGCTTGTTACAGGGTGTTAGGCCCTGTTAGGTTGGGTCCATGCCCGTTCGGAGGGAGTCCGAGGGAGCAAAGTGCCCGGTAAGGTATGTGGCTGGGTTTCAGCTATCACCAAGGTCCATAAACCATCCTGCGCCACAACTTGTGAGCATCCCATTGGGGGAACCAACTCATGTGGAGGAAGGTAAGCCAGGAAGATAGTTTACCTCCATGTAGACATTAATTATGTACCGCCTCCATTACTCAAGATGAAGCCTTATATGCAACCTTTGAATGATGTGCAATTTATTTGGAAAGAACATCTACTCATTCTTCTGTTAATTGACCATTATATATAAGTTGTTCTAGTAAAACCCAACTGGACATTCCCTCCTTCTGGCCTAGGAAGCTGGGAAAAAAATGTGTGGCATCTGTAGGAGTTCTGTTCTAGCAGAAAAAGCTGGTGTGCTTGGTGACCTCTTTGACCTCCTCATGGGTAAAGTGGACGCTAAGGATAACACATAAGCTACGATTGGTTAAAAGGGAGCAAGGGTTCCCGAAAGATTGTGTAGAGGCAGCAAGATAGAAACCAGCTTATGAACTGTAGTGGCTCTCTTGCAGGAAGAGCTCGACTTCAAGTCTTGGCCTGAATTGGAAGTTGCAAATTAAGAATTACGGGCAATTTGCAACTGGGCAGAACCTGGAATTAATGAAGTTGTATTTCCCAGTCCCGGCTGGCGGCACGCTCATTAATAGGCGAGGGATGCAGCTTACAATCACTGGTCTCCACTCCTTGAAGAGGTGCCACACAGGGTCATGTGATGGTGAACACATAATGATAAAATACATAAGCAGAGGTTTAAAACCACATGCAAACCATCAGTAGTTCAGCAATAAAGGCAGCTGATCTCATATGCAAACCTTTCCTTATAAGTTGAACTTGGCCCCTTCTCCAAAGTCACTCCATTGCACCTTTATTGTGATGAACAGCCTCACTGATCAACATTGCAGCTCACAAGGTGGAACAGAACTAAGCTAAGTTTGATTTTTCCAGATATGACTTCAGCTTCCTAAATCTCTGGATCTTGCCGGTGTTGACATGCCATTTTTATTATAGGTAACCTTTGCTTATGTACAGTACTCCTTTATTATTTGACCTTACAATGTTTGTGAAAGGTTCACTTTAAATACTAACTCAGAGCAATCATACAAGTGGAGCTCTATTTCAAATCATTTCCATAGTAAAGTAATGAAAACTGGAAATGATGTTCCTGTCTGTTGTCCTGCCTTTGCGTGCCACCCTAATATATTCTCCATTTATAGCTACATCTCTGTAGTCATTATGTCCCTATTGTCCCTTAATGTCCATTCGCCCTCGACCATTTTATTCTGTCTTGGTTATAAAGTGACTTTCTGATGAATTGTTGTTGGTGTTCTCTGAATGTTCTGTTTCCTTGCCTGATTCTCCTCACCTCTCCCTCCCTTCTTCTTACTCTGTGGATGGATTGGTTGTGTCAGACTCAAACAGCCGTGTCCCTTCATCCCCCCCAGCTTGGTGCTATCATTTATCCCGATCACAGGGGAGAGGGGACCTGTCAGGGCGGCCTCATGTCTCTCTTTCCAGTGCTGCACACAGAAGGCATGACAGAGCTGTGAGTGTGTGCTATTATGTGGAGCGGGGGTATAAACGAGTCTCAGTATGTCTAGGTGCGCACTACAAATGTCTTTCCATTTGATTTAAAGTGGATGGAAGATACAGGAATAAACTAGTTACCTGCCGTCTCCTACAGGATGGAAGAGAGTGCCGGAGTCAGAACGTGGAATGGTCTTTTGCCTTACACGGCGATCATGCTTTGTCAAGATGGTCATACTTAACGTATGATGGTCATATTCAACGCATGCTATAGTGGACCAATCTGAGTGCTCATGCGCAAAGAACATATTAGACAATTTTAGAAACCAATTAAAGTTTTGTTTTCCTTTTCGATAGAGTAGGGAAGGGTT